ACTGCAGGGCTTGGATTTAGTCTGGGGCTTTTTCTGAAAGAAGTCTGGTGGCACAGTCGCCTTCACTGTGTCTAGCAACTCCTGATAAAACTGAGTCATCTTTGGAGATGAAATAAACGTTTCTGCTGAAGGTGCTGATTTAAACTCTTGAGACAGTCTATGCACAAGGGTCCCGTTGTAAAGCCTGCCCAAAAGGAAGGGGAAAACCCTCACTGAGAGTTATGACAACAGGAGCACACAGAAGTGTGTTGCTGAGAGAACACACGTTTAAGTAACACACTATTCACTGCTGGACTCCAGTGGAACACCTAATCCACCCAGTATTTTTCTGCATGTTCATTATCTTTAGGGAAAGGAATCCCAATGCAGGACCATTCACTCAGGGAGTTATGACTCAGAAACCAGGCGTGAGATGCATTTCATCAGGCACGTGTGTGGAAAGGAGATGTCTGAAACACTCCTACCTGCTTAAGTCTGGCTCAGCAAGAGGAGAGCCGAGCAGCTGGTTCAGATAAAATCCCATCTGGAGACAACACTGCCACTGGCAAAAAGAGTGTGCAGCATCTAAGTCAAAGCCTGTATTTTCCACGTTCTTTTCCTTCACATTTGGAAATAGGTTATCCACAATGCTGTCATCTTCAAAACTTAAATCTGTGGGATCTAGATTATGGATAAATAAATGACATAAAAATGAAAAAAAAAAAACCACCTGCWGTGAACAATAAGAAAAGTATCTACAGAATTTATAAACTTTCAACCCTAACTGCTGTACTTCAAGAAGCATAAACATTAAATTGTAAGACATTAAAGACATTAAATTGTAAGAATTCACACAACTATCCCTGAGAATCTTTGTCACCAAACCATGGATTCCTCCTGAAGGAAATGCTAGTACATGTTCTGGCTGCTAAATGCTCTGAAGATTACTGAAAATAGTAAGGATTCACAAAGACTGTTTACATTTTCATTCTCTCAGTGCACCAGTAGATAAACTCTGCCCACACAATTTAATGCATTTTTAAGTACAGATGATTTTAGAAAAAGCTCTCCTGAAAGAAAAATCACGTATCAGAATACATATAACTGAAGTTACTCTCTTTTGATGCATGAAGATATTAAGTTTGCAGAAAGGAATTATTTTGTGTTTTTGAACCTTATACCTAAGCTAATCCTTTGGTCCTAAAAAACATTTACTAATGCAAATCATTATCTTACATAACAGAAAAATACTTATTTTAACACTTAGTGTGCTGAACTGTAGGATAGCAGTGTTTCTCCGCTCTGTATCAATGAAAGGAAGTCACACTTCAGGAAACAGTGTAAATCAGTGCTAATGCATGTGAATTGAGACAATTAAGAAAAAAAAAATGAGGAAAAAAATCCCAAGAGTTAAGGTACAAGGTTTCACAGTAGCTGAACGTCTAAAATGGTATTCCATGGACATGGACACATACCTGGATCATGTGTTGTCCTGTGCAATTCCCCAGATACTATCATTAGAAGCAAAGCCTTTAACTGATGCGGTTCCACTTTTGGTTCTGAACTACGTGTCCAGTAACAGGTTACAGCAAAAGGCAGCTGTAAGTGACTGGGGACAGATTCCAGGAGACTTTTTGTCACTCCTAGAGTCTCCAGCAAAAGCAATAGACGACACGACATGGGCACCTGTAAATAAAAGAAAAACTCAGGAGTACAAAAATAAAGGCAACAGACTATTTGCTGCAAGCAAGTTCTTGCCACTTCCAAAACGTGCATGAACTTAAGCTAGCCCAAGCTTCAGATTTTCCATAAAAATATGGTTTTGCTAAGTTGCACAGACACTCTGACCAGGGCATACTAAGTACAACTACGTTTTGGGGAGAAGGATAACAGTAGTTTTTTACAAGCCTGAGGTCAGTTAGATCTTACGAGATGTTAGAGTGCCCTGCAAAATCAGGTGATTTAAGTTACATGCCTCTGCAAAAACCAACCTGGCTGGAAAATCTAGTAACCAAGATGTATTAGTCACTTTGACATGACAGATAAATACATAAAATTTCATGATGTRCCTTTTAGAAGTTACTCGGAGTTGCAATGGTTACACCTATTTTGTTGTGCTAGAAACACTCACCTGCAATAGTGATAAAAACTTTCATATGAAGCTTGCATTTATTTTCACATGTAAAGTGTGAACTTACAGCACATGTGCATGAAAGAGAAAAGCTATGTGCCCTCTTTGTCTTAGCTTTTTTTTTTTTTTTTAAGAAGTTGGTATAGTTTGGAAGTCTGTAATTAAATCCAGCTTTTAACAGGCAACAGCCGCCTGTTCAGTTGCAGTCAGCCTGTTTTGTGAATGTGGATAAGCTTTCACCTATGCACCTCTATGGCAGAACACAAACTCAGCTAAGTTTAGCCTGGAACAGCTTAACATTTTAAGGGTGAGGTGATATCTGTCCTTGTCGCCTTTGTTGAACCGATAATCCCCATATATTCAGTTATGAGAGATCTTCTATTAAAAATATTGAAGATCAAAGAAATGTATATATACCAAGACCAAAGATACCACTGATGTTTTTAAAAACCCCTAAACTTGACTTCTCAAACTCTTGTTTGTATGCTTTTGAATAATAAACCCACGTAAAATGATCTGAATGCCAACTTTTAAATCCATAGCTCTCTCTAGCATTTCATAGTCATAGCAGTGACTAGTATCCTGTATCAAGTAGGTACCAGCAGCTAATAATTTTTATCAGAATAATGTGCCAGTTGCATATAGCACTGGCAACCCAAATGATGTGCTACAGCTGACCCCAAAGCCTGAACAGATAAACGACATATTATGCAACAGGTAATGGTAAATATATTGAATTGCTAAGCTAACGCTTGCAAAATTGCTATTGGCAGAAGTAGCCATTAGCAGTTTTCCCTTTTAAACTGCTTTCCAGGTGCTGTTCTGTCTGGCAGTAGCAGCTTGTGCTGAGCCAGAAGCGGGAGGCAGGCTACAGAACTGCTGGGCAGGTGGGGGGCTGATACACAGAAATAATGGTGATGTAAGGAAAGGTAGGTGCCAGATCTTGTTTCACAGTATTGCTCTGGAAGATTCATGGCCTGACCAAGTGTAAACTAAGTTTCACAATGTTAAAATAAATGCGTTTTCCTAAATCTCATGCAACTGCCAGGGGCTTTCCTGAAGTGAAAGGAGCAAGTATTAGTTTATCAGCCTACACAGGGATGAAAGAAGGAGATAATAACAGAAAGCTCAAGCAATGCTGAACACAGATGCAACCGACTTTTCCCATCATTTGGCTTGGTACACTCAGAAAGAGAATTATGCAGCTCGTATTACAGGACAAGCTGGGAAGCCTTGAAGTACCTGTGCACTGGGCATATGCTTCTTGTGGGAATCGTCAGCGCGACAGTTCAGTGCAGGCATCACATTGAGAGCATCAGTTTGTCAGCACGAGCCCCAACTCAGAAAATACGATTGACTGTGGTTTGTTATGATAACCATTTACCTCTCTCAATCTCTCCAAAGGAAAATGGTCAACACAAAACTCTGCGGGCAGACTTGCTGCTTGCACAAATCTTTTTTCAATAGTCTTATGGATTCTGCCAAACTCGCACACACCTGGCAGGCCGGGGCCGCGCGCCGCCTCYGCGAGCAGCCCGTAGATGACCTGCCGGATGGGCCGCGCGGCGTCGTGCGCGCTGCGCCGCCGCATGTCCTCCACCTGCACGGGCAGGAAGGTGCTCCGCAGGCGCGCCRCGTTGCTCACCAACGGCGAGAGCTCGGCCCGCGCCAGGGCGGCCAGCACCCACCGCGGCAGGCCCGACTCCCGCGCCGCCGCCGACTCGTACTCCCCGTGCTGTGGCCAGGCCTCGCCGGGCGCCTCGCCGGGCACGTAGCCGTCCATGGCGGCGCGCAGGCACTCCCTCACCTCGCCGCGCCGYCGCTTGCCCACGTACTGCAGGACGCCCTCGATGGCCTCGGCAGGCCCGGCGAAGCCCGAGAGCCAGCGCAGCAGCCCGCACAGGCGCCCGTGCCGCCCGCGCCTGCGGCCGCAGCATGCGACGTCCAGCGGCGCCCCGCTGAAGAAGGCGGCGAGCGCCGGCAGCCGCCCGTAGTCGTTGCCCACCATGGCAGCGAAGAGCGGCAGCAGCGCGGGCTGCAGCGGCCCGAAGTGGCCGCAGAAGCTCTCGGAGGAGAAGCGGCGCGCGGGGATGTAGCGGCCGGGCGCGTCGCCGCCGCCCTGGCGCACGCCGCGCCACTCGAAGTGCCCGAGCGGGCAGTAGCCGCCGCGCAGCTGGAAGACGCAGAAGTCGCTGTCGAGCGCCAGCACGGGGCAGCCCCAGCGGTTGGCGAGCGCGGCGAGCTCGCGGTCGGCCTCGGCGAAGCACTGCGCGAGCGGCACGCCGAGCCGCCGCAGCGCCTGCACGAAG